CTGAGGACAAAGGCAGAGGTGGAAATAATTACACACCAGGATGAGTTTTTGGTCAGCGAGGGATGTTTAAAAGATGATGAAAGCCCCTTCTCCCCTGAAGGCACTATTAATACCATCTGAGGGCTGGAGAAGAGAGCTTTATAGAAGAAATGAATTTGAATTGCTGTGGTCAGAATGAAGGAAGGGCAGCTGAATAAGTGGGAGGGAGGGATTTGAGGTTGTCCAGAAATGGTTGCTTGGAGCCCTGTTTTGAAAGGCCTTTAATGAGTACAGACCTTTGAACTACAGGACAGTTTTTAAGTAGCATAAATAAATGATCTCATGTATATGAAAAAAACACACAAAAACATATGATGCCAGCATGCAGGAGAGTCGGATTATAAGAATCAGGGTAAAGCATACACACCCAAGGCCACTGGAGGGTACAGGTAAATGTAAGGAGGCTGAGCTGAAGGAGTAGGAGTGCCCAGCCCTTGGAGTATGAGGTAACGCAGTAACCACAATAATTTTCCTCCTCCCACTTAAGCAAAAGCCAAACTTCTATTGGCTTCAAGGACTTTCTCAAATGACTGAGATGAGGTTGCCACAACCGGTGTACAGAATTTTCTGGAGGCAAACCTCCAGCAAGATTTAACTTACAAGACCTCCCACAGGAAGTGATTTATACTCATGGCCAGTAAAAGAACTAAATGCATAATATCTATACCTAGACTACCATTTTGTTATTCTAAGTAATAGGACAACGTAGCGCTCATCAGCACCAATTTTTTGTCTTTTCCTATGTCCGTTTGGCCACACTGTTAAAAGGCCAGACTTCCCAGCAGCACCCTCCTAACCAGAGCTACAGCCTTTGCAGCAGGCGGTGCCCACCTCTGCCTGCAGAACTGCAGCCCAAACAATCTGCTCAGAGCTGCCGACAAGTCAGTAGAATGTGCTTCTGAGTCAGCCTGTTAAGTAGGAGGACTGTTATTGTTATTTTAACTCCTGCTGGAGTATGTGGGCAATTCTCCTCTTTCTGTCTCTAGTGAACCACTAGACACCCCTCTTCAGAACCCCTGGAATATGTGCCTGCTCCCCAGGAGCAAGAGTGGTCTGAGGTCCGGATATACCTGCGGGCTGACAGGACAGATTAGGACAGGCTTTCATAAAAGGACAGTTCACATCCTAATTTACCAATAGAATCTACTTTTAGGATGTTAAATGTGTCTTTAAAGTTGTTCACATAGAGTGCCATGGGCCAGCGCTGAATGCTGATGAGAGTAATCAGCAGAAATGAAGGTACTTATTTTCAGAGAGCATGGTGACAATGCATTTTCTTTCTCCTTTCCTTAGTCATTGGGGGACTGTGGTCCCACTGTTTGTCTTTCTCTTGCCAAATGTTCTCAACAATGTAAACACTCATCCAGTGTTCTTCCCAAGGAATATTGAAAGAATAAAACAATCATCCTATTTTATAGAAAATTATCTAAAGGCTAGACTTTACCATTTATAAATGATAAAAAATAGAAATCTATTCTGAAAACAAAGCAAACTTTAAGCAATGTCAGGATGTACCAAATCTTGTTGTACAGATAAAAGACCTGCATGGAATAATAAAATAGTTTTTGTTCTTTTAAAATGGTTTTCTCATTCTAATCTGTCCCTGATTTGTCTCTGTGTTTTTGGTACTATTAAGATTCAAGATTACATATTAGTAGAACAAAGTTTTGTCACAGTGCTATAAAATGATGTGTTAAAAACATCCATAAAAGCTTAGCATTTCAGAATTATTGCACTCCATTAAGACAAACTGAAGGAACCTTCAAAGGGGCAACAACCATCACTGATGTGCATTAAAGATATTGTGTGCTGAGTTCCTTCGATAGTAACCCTTGCATACTCATTCAGTCCTTCAACAAGTGAGGGTCCACCAAGATAAAGACACAGCTCAGAACGTCACAGTCTCTCCTCTCAGTGGGAGGAGAGAACGTTGAAATGATGTCAGGGAGGTAGAAGGTGGATTATATAGATCTTGCTGGATCACAGTACGAGTGTGGGAGTTATTCTGACTGTTGTGGGCAGTCATGGGTGAATTGTGAACAAGAGTCCTATCAATGGATTAAGATCTATTAAAGGCCACACTAAATGACCAACAGATGAGGGGCCAGAAAGACTGAGCACAGGAAGCTACTGCAAGAGTCAAGGTGAGAGAGTGACTTCCAGTGATATAGGCAGAGATTATGAGAAACAGCAAATTCTGGACAGGCATGATCTTGGTGCTATGAGGCTTAAGCAAGTTAAATAATACGTCTCTAATTGACGATGGAATGAAACCAATTGTCAGGGCTGTTTACTACTCTACAATGTTTACAGGGGCCTTTTGTGCCCAAGAGATGATGATATATCAACTTTTACACTTAAGAGTTAAATGTATTAGGTTTGAAATTTTTAACTAAATTTTACAGAATAATTAGTAATAATAGCAAATGACTGCAAAGACTTTTATAAAGTATTTTCATTCCTGTTACCCCATTCAATTTAATCTAATTGGCACGGTTCGATGATTGCAAAGTTAAACAATGTCGAGATAACAAAAGCAAAATAGGTAACTAGTGAAATAGTAACATATATGGTGCCACTGAATGAATCACTGCTCTTCCCCATGGCCTGTTTGCTCACTGAAGGTAGACATTGTGTCTTTGTTTTTCTAACATCAGCCTTCTCAACTTACATAAAAGGATCCAAATAAAGTTTGGTGGAAGGAGTTAAACTGATAGTTTTGTGTCAATTCGGTGCTCCCAATCCTTTTCTGGTCGGCTTTATAACTTTGGAGTCTGAGAGCAATGAGCTTGACTTCAGGCTCTGCAATTACCATCTGATTTTGAGCAACTTACCAGACATATTTTGGCCTCGACTTCCTCACCTGCAAAATTGCCATGCACTTCTGACCAGTGGGATTTACATAATCTCTTGCACTTACTTTTATTTGCCCAGCAAATATTAGTTTATCTCTTCTTTCTCCCTTAAAGATATATGAAAGATTCTATATCCATAAATCTTACTACTGCTAATTACAATAATATTTATTTTACCTTAAACAAATTCTAGAATTAAATGTGTTTGAGAAAATTAGGAAAAATCATTTTTTAAAAAAGGTTATTTCTCTGATGATTTTTGAAAATAATATAAGCTATTAACATGGGGCAAGGAAGACTTTTTCTTTTCATGTCATTTCTTTTCATTTCAAACAAAACAGTAATTTGTTTTGAGGAATAGTCAGCATTTCATCTATGGGGAAATAAATCATATTTCAGTTATTGGGTTATGACAAAATCAGTGAGTCATGAGTCCCATTAGTTAGTAAGATCATTATAGCCAATAAAAGAGGGAAGCTTTTCTAATGAGAAAAAAGAAAAAAGAAACAGAAACCCAACTGTCACGATGTCATGTATGAACAACTTTGGATTCCTGAACATGCTTTGATAGCCATGCTTAAACCATCTCCAAAATGCTGAAAGTCATCTAAAAGTAATATTAAATTGCTACTAAGCACCAAATGATTGAAGCATTAAAATGAATCCACTTGCTGACAGAATGAGTCAACCAGATCCTCCTGTATCAAATGGATGGGACTCTCAATATAGTGTTAGGTGAAGGAAAGCTGCAAAAGAATATCTAGAGTCTGATGCCATTTATGTAAACTCTTAATATGTGAACAATCACATGGCATGTTGTTTCATGCAGATGTCATTCAAGTATCAAACAAAGAAAAGGTTACATCGTCTTCAAGATTCTGCACCTTTTAAGAGGAAAGGAAAGGGAGCAGAGCAAGTTTTGTTCTTCTGTGGTGGTTTATTCCTTTAGGAAAGATTTGAACATCATATGTTGTGGTCACTCCATAAAGTATATAGGTGTCGTATCACTATGTTGCATGCCTGAAACTAATATAATAGTGTATATCGACTATAATGATATTATAAATTTCAAAAAGGTTTGAACAAAGCTGACTGTCAGCATTGGCTTAATCCTCAGGACTTATACTTAGGTTATGTATTATAAATTCTCTATATTTCTCTTTTAAAGTTTTGTAATTTTTCTTGATTAAAAATAAGATAATGAAGAAATAAAAGCAATACAGCATATTTTGCTGTGGCCAATTTGAGGTGGGATATTCAATACCTCTAATAAAAAGAAATTAGACTAAAATGCATTATTCATTTCCTAGAATAAAAAAAAATCATTTGTATTCTTTCTGTAAGATTATTCTCCTTTTATTATAGGAATTTTGAGTTCAAAGAAAGATCGAAAGTAAAGAAAAATATTATTTCTGCTTGTAAACTGAACTAAGTGTATCCATTTCTTTCTTTATTCATGCAACAATTATAAAGTAACAAATACAAAGCTAAAATAAATGTTTGCCTACTATGGCTTTTTCAGTAAGTGCATTATATATTCTTTCTTCTATAAATTCAGACAGAACCAACTCAAACCATTGGTGGACCTGGTTGCTAGACTTTTCTATCCCAGCTTGAAACTCCTCCTCCAACAGCCGCTGGGGGTGTGTTCTTTCAAAGTGTCTGCTGCTCCCAGACCCGTGTACACCACCTTGGGTGAGTTACAGCTGCCTGCCTCCGCTCTGTCTCGTGCCCCTGATTTGTAAAATGGGGATGCCCCCTGTTATTTACTCATGGGGTTGTTTGTTGTAAGGAATAAATGATTTAAGTTATGCAAAGTAAGTCATATAGGGCCAAGTCTGGCACATAGTAAATGTTGAGAAAATATTGACTGTTATTGGTAGTCATAGCAGAAGTGAGGCTTAGTTCAGAAGATCTTCTCATCTGTTTACTATTAAATCATTCAAAACATTAAGTGCTGTTTTGATAACCCTAACTGTATTAACTGTAGCATTCATGTTAATTCATATAAATTCTCCCTTATCAAAATGAGTTTATAGTCATTTTAAAAAGATCTTTAAAAATATATTGTTAACAGTTATTTTTCACAATTGTGATGAGGCTTACCTATTCAAGGACGAAGTAAAATGGTAAAGATTGTGACGTTGTGTTCTCAAAGGGTTAATAATAGGTTCTGTCTTCTCTCTGTAAAAAGAAAAAAATAGAAAATCAAGAATTTACTCTCTGACCCATGTACATTAATTACATCATGTAAATAAACACCAAATCCAACTTGTGCCTTTCTCTTTTTATATTGGGTAATTAAGAGACCAAGAGATAAATTTCAGGCTGGTTCTTTATAGTCATAACATTGAGTATTTACAGCCTACGAGGCACTCTTTTGGAACAGAGCAGTGAAAATGCTAATTGTTTTAAACTTCTTCTTGGTTCTCAGCTTCACTCCAGTGAAGCTACATATACATTATATCCAAGGAGAAATAAAGTATGAATTGTTTTCAGCTAATAAATTGTAGACACTTGTATTCTCTCCCAAGAGGATGTATTCATCCCGGTAGATAGTTAATTATATCCGGTTAGCTTTACAGGACTGGGCCTGCTGCCCAGTTCGTATTGACTCTCCCTAGAATAGGACAGAGAGGACTTTTTTTCCTTCTTAACAATGGATTAAATTTTCTCTAAAGGTACTCAACTTATTTTGACATACAGAATTCGAAAAGTCATTTTGGATTATTATTTCTATTTAGAAATTCCACTAGAACAATACAGAACACTTCCTACTAAGGTGGTGCCTAGGAAAAAAAAATCAATTACTAGAAGGCGCTGGGCTTGTTTTGTCCCTCATAAGCCATTCGGGTGTAATCCTCTTTATCTACAGAGATGACCACAGGCCAACCGTACATACACAATTGTCCCTAAATGCGAGGGGCAGAGTTGAGTCCCAGTTTGAAGCCCCGCTATCTTACAATAAATAAATAAATCGATGTAGCTCCACATCAGGGCCTGTATGATTTCACCCCTGGCGGGGTGGACACCATCAGATCTTCAGGAAAGATGTTGCTTTACAAGAATGAGTCTTAAGACTCAAATGAGATTGGAAGCTATTGACTCTTCTTCCAGTAGGAAATGTGAGCTTGGAAAGACAAGAAACAGGTAGCTCTGTTCTTCTCCATGACCCTTCCGAGAACAATGTGTATATGGACATGAGCAGACTAGGGTTCGATGAAAAAAATAACAAACACGGACTGGCTCAGGTCTTCTGTTAAGTGCTTTTACATGTAATTATCTCATTTCATCTGTAAGCAATCACACATGATGTGCAGTGGAGAACAAGTCTATTAATGCATATTAAAGGTAGAAAGGCTTAATGTTTTTTTTTAAAAAAAATAAAATATATTCTGTAGGCACAAAGAAACTAGTGGAATCCTCAGTTTCTTCAAATAATTTGATAGCTAGTTTAGAAAAAAGAAAAAGTGACCACTCAGGCCTCTGAACAAAGTTTTTTTCCTGTTTGTTTTTTCCATTTACTACAGTTCAGTGGTCCTCAAATTTGGAATATATTTTAAATGACATCATATATTTATAAATGTACATATGATATATATCTATTTAACATAATATACAATAACTGAAGACTACAGAATTTTAAGAATAGTTTTGATTAAAAGCAAGTTATATCCTTTAAAACTAATAAAATGGTGGACCTTGTTCTCATAAAAAAAAAATCTTCAGGTACTTAATCAATGAATGCTGAATAAAATGTCATGTTTTATATTCTCTTTAACTTCCTTATTTTCCTTAAATTCCTTAATATGCATATTTTTTGTACTTCATCTTCATAATTTTCAAGTCCACATTCACTCATGAAGATAAATGTCCAAGTACAGATTACATATGTGTAGTTGTATCATTTAACCTAGTAAAATTAAGAAGAAGAAAATGAAAGAAAATCTAAAGAACTGGGTCGGCAAACAATGGACCATAGGTTAGCCCCATCTTCCTGCTGCCTGTTTCTCTAAATACAGTCCATCGGCACACAAACCAGGTCCCTCGTTTCAGTGTTGCCTATGGCTGCCTTCCTGCTGCACTGCCAGAGTGAGCAGCTGTGTTAGAGTCTGCGGCCCCTTATACATTTATGTGTGACCCCAACTATTGACCATCTGGCCCTTTACAGCAAACATTCAGCAACACCTATTATCAAAGAACATGTTCACCATTTGAGTAATATTAAAACAATATTTAAAAATAATATTCTATCTTTCACAGCCTTTCCAATGTTAACTCAATAGTTATATATAAATGAAAGTAAAACATCAGCCTTACACACTTAAAAGTGAATTTCATTCCAACAGAACCTAGAAATTATTGGGCAAAGAATGAGAAGATGGTTAAAAAATAAAGGGTACCCATTTAGTCATAACAATAATGGCCCATTTACCTATCATCCTGATTTTTCTGTGCCTTTGTTTGTTATAAAATTAAAATGACTATCTATTTTTCTAGACTTTATTTTATGATAAAGAGATAAATGCCATCTGGAATTTATTTTTGAAAAGCACTTATGGCCTATTTCATTAGGTACATAAAACTGAATCGGCATCTTAAATTAGTACAGTGCAGTTAGGAGTAATATTTTTATCCCATATAACACAGTATTCATTGAGAGCATTCTTTGGTACAGTTTTGGTATTTGTTATGTTATATAGAGTGATTATAGCTTCCCTGAAACAATGTTAACAAACGTACACCGCATTTATTATGTGCCAGAAACTACTATTTGAAGCACTTCATCTCTATATTACAATAGCTCACTCATTCCTCACTATCACCTTCTAAGACAGGCAACTATTGTTATACCCAGTTAACAGATGAGAAAACTGAGGCCAAGACTTTTCAGTGTCCTTCCCAGCATGACACAACTAAAAAGTGGCTAACCTTTCAGCAATACACCAATTCTTTCTAACCCTAAGGGTTGAGGTTGGATCTTTCATGTTTCAAGCATAAAGGCTTTGAGACTCCTCTGAGAAGTGGTATTTCAAGAATGGCGACTTTTAATTTTCTAGGAATACTAAGCACATTTATTTTTCAGCAAATCCAGCTTCTTGAACACATCGAAGTTGGCTCAGCTGTAGCTGTGCCTCTGCTCTCTACTTCGTTTTTCTATCAGGCCTGCTTGTGTCACCTTCCAGAACCTCTTAGAGCTGGGTCCACATGTTGTTGACAATTATGAATGACAGCACCCGACAAAGTCCAGGGGTTAACAACTACATTGAAGAGCTAGCCTGCATGTGATAGAGAACAGGATGCACAGTGGCATCACCAACTCCTGGAATAAATCAGTCGATAAGGAACCCAAGAGAAACACTTGTTTATCTGTACATGATCAGTGGTATTAGCTGCTTTCTCAGATACATAAGGTGTGTACATGATGAAATTAGGTTTGTGTATATGATGAAATAAGGTGTGTGTATGATGAAATTAAGCCATATAAGAGCTGCCAGTGCATTTCAAATAAGGGTGGCCATATAATACATGTGTGGATGTTGGCATATTTAATTGCAAGTTATGCAATCCCTATGGCATTAAAGTTAGAATGATTCGTTTCTTTTAGAATCTTGTGAAGAAAATATTGCCAACATATGGTTTTTGCTTAATTAATTAAGCAACAAAGTCAAGACAAAATCTTCCCTAGATTGATAGGGACAGGATATACTTCTCATTAACCTTTGAAACGTTTGGTAATTTTTCATGTTTTGATAGACTTTTGCAGATAGGTTAAACAGATGCTTGACATTGCTGGGATTCTGAAGAGTTAACATAACCTCACTGGCTAGCATTAGCCTACTTGATGAGCTCTCAAATAAACAATAACAACGTTGTTCTCTACATCCTCTATCAATCTGCTCTGCGAGGCTTTGAACAGTTCCTGTAATTCAGTGCACTTGTCCAGAACAACGAGACTTCAACTACTGAGAACAGAATTGCTGATCCTCAGAAAAATACACACCACACCAACAATCTAAGCTAGAGCAGTGGCCAACATACAATCATCTACTCGAACATGCTGCTAAACCATTTCTATTCCACAATAGGTTTAGAAACAGCTCATGATTATTGATTACGAGCTGAAATACTTATTGATTAGTAGCTGAAAGTCACCATGAGGCAAAACCACTGACAGCTGAACAGAGATATTTCTTTCTTGGGGTTTCTTTTCAGGAGAACATGATGTTTCTTGCCAAGGAAACTTCTTCAAAATGTACATTTGAAAGATATAAGGAAATTTAACAAAAGCCCTATTCAAAATGTGATCTCAAGTTGCCAGAGAATCTAAGTAAGATTGAGTTTTCCCATTTCATCCCCAAACCTGCTACTTCAGGCTCTTGCCAAGGACTAGCAGACTGCATTAAGCCGGTTTAGCAGAAATAATCCAGTCTTGTTCAAAGCATCTCAATATAGTTCCAGGTAGTAAAGAAGGATACAAATAGGTGAAAGAGAAAGGACTGAATTAGTCAGAAGAGTCAGGTTTACATCTCAGAATCTTTACTATATAAAAAAGGCTATATCCTGCTCATACAAATCCTGATAGGAGCAGGGTAATTCTCCAGCCCACCTTTCTTTCTCCCATGCAGTGACCCAGCAATTGGGATCTATTCTTCTCGTGGCTCAACCCGAGGCCTCAGGATTGCTCACCCAAGAGCTGGGCACTGGCTCTCAAATGCTTTCACACAGAGGTGGCACACATCACCGTCTCTCACAGCCCACTGGGCTCAACTAACCACATGGCTCTGCCTAAATGCAAGGGATGGAGAGAGAGGTAGGGTAAATGGAGATTTGTTGAACAATAAACATCTTGATTTCAAGAGTGAGAGGCATGATATGTTCAGTAGGACATTAGGGTCGCGCTTAAATGCTTACGTTTTTAAAAGAGTTGAAAAGAAATAATACTCAGTGATATCAGTTAAAATCTTATTTTGCTAAATTGTTAAAACATACTGACTCTGAGAACATATAAATATAGCCCAGCCAGTGTGGCTCAGCTTTTGAGCATTGACCCATGAACCAGAAGGTCACAGTCTAGGTCAGGGCATATGCCTGGGTTGTGGGCTGGATCCCCCATAGGGGAGATGGGGGGAGAAGGGGGGAAGGCAGGAGACAGCTGATCAATCAATGATTTTCACAACATT